ACCCGCCCATTGCATGCACCACACAAAGATGATTCTTAATCTAGTGCACATGTGCCTACAACTTCATGCAGCTTATGCCATTTGGGATACGCTTGTTAAGACTGAACTTACAGGTGCGCAGCAGGTCCTCTCCACTGTTGTGGTTTCCTGGTTCTTTGTATTTGGGAGTGAACTGCTGAGGTAGAGTGAAGCTTCGACACTCCAGCACCATCTTGACTTCTGAAAGAGGTTACAGTATTTACTTGCAGAACCAATGTCTGAACATGGATTAGCCCATTTACTACAAGTCGCATACATTTATTAGTAAAGCTGATTGTCTTTTTTTTTTTAAACAGACACTTATGTTTTATGCAACATGGAAACAAAACAATAAAAAACCCTGACAAGATAATGGCACCTTTTGACTTCATGAGAGCTTATGGAACAGAGGTATGAATGTAATGTCCAAATGACATTACCCTTTTAACAAACGTAATTGGCAGCTTAATTAAAAAGCGGTGTGGCTTTTACTGCCTGAGACACAATACCAGCTGGATGTGTCAAGTGACAAGCTGGTTGTATCATAAGCATATAGTTTTGCCATTAGACCCAATGATGGTTTTGGTTACAACTTCTAGTTTTGCTCTCTCTGTAATTTGACAAAGTTCAGTCAAAATTCATTGCTAGTGCCATATCTTACAAACCAGAGCCAATCAACAATTTTACAGATTGTTTTTGTTTTCAGTGGCCTAGAAATAAGCAAAGATTGATTTTTTTGGAAACATTTTGGTTGTAAGACAAATGTAATCCAACTCTGATCATGAGACGGATAACGACCAGAGGTGCAAATCTGTTTACCCTCAACCTCATCTTCACCATACCCAGTTGCCTTAGGATCTATCCTTTACTAGGGTGTTATCTATGTACTAATTACCAGGCAACCTGTTGAGGAATGAGCCACACCTGTGGCAGCTGCCTGAGACAAGGTGGGGTTATACTGCACATCAGCTCTATAGTCTTCAGAGACATAAACTAGTGACTCAGCTGTCTGAAGACAGGGCACCGTGCAGTGAGCAGGCCAGGTCAGTGCTACACATACCTGACTCCTTGTCCCAGTGGCCGTTTTCTGGAACCAGCACACACCGCCACCAGAGGCCCACAGTCCCGTTGAGGCGGAATAGGGTATCGCTGTAGGTTTTCTCATCAAAGTCCCCGGCAATGAACTCCTCGTAGAGGGAGCGCAGCTCTGACACGTTTGCCTCTCCGCGCACGGCGGGGCTGCTGTACTGGTACCAGTGCTGCGTCCCGATGGCCACTGAAAGGTACACAGTGGCCAGTATGCTCAGCACACAGGCGATGACCAGAGCTGTGGCATAGCGGTTGTCAACCATTGTTCCCTGAGCCAGGGACACGTCTGTATGGGTTAAGTTGTCAGTGGTCGAGTCGTCGCGGATCAATATGATAAATCTACGATGCTTCTTGTTACCCACCCTTATGCAAGTCGCTCTAGCATCCCCAAGTCTGCAAAAGATATGCAACAGCCAACGGCAGGCTTTTATCTTAATCACTATTACTCATCGTCAGTGCTCTTCTATCCCTTAGAGTCTGCAGCCTGGATGCGCCATCTGTTCCCTTGTCCCACTTCCACGGATGGTGGGTGGCCTAGCGCAGTGACATATCTGTGGTCTGCAATAACAACCCCCTAGTCCTCAGCAAAGGAAGTAAAACGGGCCTCCTATTATAAGATACGTTGTACCCCAGGCAGCAACAACCTCTATATACAAATAGCAAGAATCTATTTTGAACACAACACAGCACAGCGATGCCGGTTGCACCCAGGCTGATAGGAGATGTAAACACACTAATCCATGTGTTTTCCGGTTCCGGTGATCAGCATACTAAAAATATATAAAGAAACAAAACGGCCGATTTAATGCACAGGCCTTCCTGAGAGAAAGATTAAAAAACGGTAAACGGCCATGGCGAGCTAGGAGACATCATAGGATACTCATGGTTCAAAAAGAGAAGACCATAGGCGTTACTAGACCCCTTTTACTGGCACAGTATTGATCTGCTGTGCCCCAGTAAAAGCACATTCTAGAGTTTTAACAAGCGCCGATATTTGGAAGTGGATTCATTTACATTAACAATAATGAGGAAATATTTGTTGTTCTAATCCATAATGTCAAAGCAGCAGTGGTCAGGAAAGGGGATGTGGGATGGGCTCAGGTATGTGACAGGGATTCATTTAAGTTTTTGAATAATACCACAAGCAGCAGTGGTCAGGAAAGGGGATGTAGGATGGGCTCAGGTATGTAACAGGGACTCGTTTAAGTTTTTGAATAATACCAGTTATCTTAATTTGAGACTCAGACACTACTGACTGTAGATGGGCATAAGAAAATTCTCTAGAGGAGGCCAAGACTGGGAAGAAGTTCAGAGAGATGAGGGTGAGACAGGTGAGTTAGAGCTCTTTACATCAATGCATATGATCAGTTGAACTAGCGGTGTATGTTAACGTTGGACTGTTCATTCTGCACTTAGTGAATAGCCTGTAGCATCTTTGATGCCCTTGTCACACAGTCCAAATTGTTTTATGCATCTTTAATCAACTGGTGAACCTGAGGCAGGAAGGGAAAGTATGGGGGAAGCTGGAGAAAGATGTGTGACCACCAGCCATCTACTGCACAATACAATTTTGAAATAATTGGAGCATGGGTATGTTATGTGGCCTTATGAGTTACAAAAAAGAAAGAAAAAAAGAAGAATTGCATTTTTTCTTTACGTTAATTTGTTGTGAAAGCTCCAATTTGACAAATCAAACTGGGGCTGGTTGACAATCAGTTTAGTTGTTACTGTAAAATGCAAAAGAATGCAAAGAAATGTGCAATACAGGGCCAGACCTTTCCATCATAAATCATGTTGGGAATGTTTTTAATGTATGTTGAAATAAATATTTTCATAAAGATTAATATGCCAACATTTTACCAGTAGTTGTAGCAGCAGCAGCAGTATGGCATTGGAATAGTGGGCTAAGCAGGGGAAGTTCACTAGCTCAATTATAGCACATTTCATTTATGCAGTAAACATTGAAGGAAAAAAGTGTGATTTGAGTAATGGGTGAGTATGGGGGGGGGGGCCTTTTCCTAAATAGGGCTTGATGTCTAGAAACGCCCCTGGAGGAGACTAAAAGTAACCTAAAATATTACCCACGTTAATAAAATTTTTTTGAAAAAGTTCAGAATAGCAAAGTGGCAAGTAAGAGTCATGCGACTTTGATAAAGTCTGTGTGGCAGCTAGCACTCATGTGAGCATGGTGACCCCAGTGAGTACCGTTTGCCAAAAAGATGGCAAACAAGCCTAAAGACGATGAGATAGGTCTTGTGTAGAAAAGTGTTCCCCTGTCAAGATGTGGCAGAGTCACACAGCTGACCTGGGTTCATGGGAGATGTCATTACTGCCACTACACACATTGGGCCAAAGTGGATCTGGAGATGCTGACCTGTCCTTCCCGGTAAATCAGGACTTAATTTCTGGGTTCTGGGGTCATGGTTTTTGGTGGTCATGGTCATGGTCATCGCCAATGTTAACGGCGTGCCGGTTGAGCAGGTTAAGTGGAGAAGAAATTTTAGCAGTTTTGAGATAAGATGACAAAAAGCAATTCTCAGTCCTTTCTAATCCAATTAGACAAAGACTGACTGATAGAAAGATACTATTGTCATATTCACCTACCTTTAAGTGAAACAACAGGATTTGATCCTTATCACTGGTACTTTAATTAAAGCTCCTGACCTTAAATATGTCCTCTGATTCATTTGGTCTTTACCCACCAAAATTGCAAAACATCACAGGAGATTATTTAATTTGTGCAAAGATTTTGTATTCTCATCATTGTAAGGTTTCTTACAGAAAGCTACATGAAATCTCAAAGAATACAGATATGCATGATTAAACACATTGTATATAAATAAGAGAACTGACAGACATGTTGCAATTCCATATGCTCTCTGTGCAGCTATTATGCAGGTGAAACCTAATGATTATATTTACATGCAGTTGGATATTACAGAAAAGTTTAGATAATTTTCAGTTTAAACAAAAACAGTAGCATTTTTAATAATCTGTACTGCCCATAATATTTTGCCTGTGTAGATTTAAAAATCCCTGAAGTTATAGCTAACTTCACAAAAGTCCCATATGACATTAGTATAAACATTTGTCAATCTGCAAAATAAAGACACAACTGCTTTTAGACAATAGTGAG